TCTATCTCTTTTTTTTCCTTCCTTCCTCTCTCTCTAAAAATCAACAACAACAATAAAAAAGGATGGAATTGAAGAATAAATGTGCTCAAAGTGTTATACAACTAGAAATCTTTCATTATCCTCATGATAAATTCTGAGGACATCTAAGATATTCCAGTCCTATTCTGCAGATAGGATCTCTGGTTAAAAACTTCTTGGTTTTGATTAACCAAACTCCATAGTATGTGTATAGCCCTCCATGCCACATTTCTCAGCCAAAGTTTATATAAGAAAATGTCACATGTAAATGTCCAAAACCCCTAGTAAATCTTTTAGGAAAATTACAAGTGGGAAAAGTCTCAAGTTACATTGCAAACACCACTGATAAACTATCAGAATGACATGTTCTTTAAAAAGAAAACAAGGGTCAACAAAGGGGACAGATGTCATTGGTGCAAAAAGAAGCATCATTGGGTTATGGTACCTCATACACATTTAAAATAGAAAAAGGTTTTAATAAAATTATTAATTGCCTGCCAATCAGAAAGTCAAGTTTTAAAATTTTTCCATTTGAACTTGATAGTTTCCTACTTATATATGTATGTTTGTATGTTTTAGAGAACTGATTGTAAGGTTGGAGTGGACACATATTGTATCATATTTGAAAAATTTTAGCCAGGTCGGATGGCTCAGTGGTTGAGCATCAACCCATGCACCAAGAGGTCTCCAGTTTAATTCCCAGTCAGGGCACATGCCCTGGTTGTGGGCAAAATCCCACATGGGGGGCAGGCAGGAGGCAGCCAACAGATGTTTTCTCTCATCGATGTTTCTATCTCTCTCTCCCTCTCCCTTCCTCGCTCTCTAAAATCAAAAAAGAAAAAACATTTACAAAAATTTTCAGTAATGGGATTTAAACTCACGAGTAGAATTTTTACACTGAATTCAGATTTTCGGGAAATACTTACAGTTGAATTCAATTGAAAAAAGCATTTTCTTTCTTTCTTTTTTATCACCCTCACCTGATTGCATCAGATTCTACCTCCATAGGTAAGTACTGGTCATTTTCATGATTTTGGAAGAAAAGAAAATGTGAGGAGATAAAATGGCTCTGAGCAGGAGGAATGTTCTGTCTACTCTTTCTGCTTCTTTCTTCCAGGAATCTCTCCCCAAATATCTTCATTATTCTCAAGCCCTATTTCCTTCATCCCCTTCTGGGCCACAGCCTCTATTAAAGGATTATTTTTGTGTGTGTGCCTTCTGCTTTTCTGGAACATAGGAACTGGACACCTGGGACTACCTAGAAAATCATAAACTCCACCTTTCCCTGAAGGAGAGTTGGTGCTGACTGTGGGGAGGGAGCTTGTGCAGGGTCATGCCAGGCTGTGACTGAAGGAGCCTCACACACTGGGAGTCCTCTGAGCTCGCTCACCTGTGTTCTTTCCCAGAGTCCTGTTCGCTCCGCTCACTTGCTAGGCTTTCATTTGGGCTCTGCCCCTTCTCAGGTCCTATTACGACAGAAATTCTCCATCTTCTCTGACAAAAGCTCTCAAGCTGGACAGTGAGTTGGGGAATAGAAAAAGTGTTCCTTTCTTGTGTCCTCCTCCCAGGTGTACATTTTATAATTTAACAAATGTGAAACATTTCAGTGTAATGGATATTAAAGCAATAGCTGTAACTCCATTTATTAAACATATCTGGTCTATTGAATGTCTATTATTTTAATTTTAATTTTTGGAAAGATTGGAATAAATATAAAATTTTTAATTCTCACCTGAGAATATGTTTATTGATTTTAAGAGGGAGGAAGGGAAGAGAAAGAGAGAGTGAGACAGTGACAGAGAAACATCCATCAGTTGTCTCCCGCATGCGCCCAGCAGAGGTTGAAAGCTGGGTCTGGGCCTGTGCCCTGAGCAGGGATCGAACCTGCGACTCTCAGCGCACAGGACAACACTATAACCCACTGAGCCACACCAGCCAGAGTATAAATATTCTTTTAAATAAATGACCTAAAACATTCATGATTGTTTGCAATGTTGTTTCTTATGATTTTCATTGAAGATAGTCATAAAGGACTTGTTTCTGGGGAAATGGCTGGAAGCAAAAAACTGGTTATGATTTTCCAGCATTTAAAGAAGTTACTGAGCAGCCAGTTTGTTTATAGACCCAAAATATGGATATTAAGTGGCCTTGTAGTCGTTGCAGATAGATTAAATATGGTAATATCTAACATGTCCTTAGGAGAACAGCAATGAGAAAAACCATGGCACACTCACATTATTATCTGGGCAAAGAAAAGCTACAAAGGAGCATTCACAATGTGAGTAGGCAAAGAGAACTTAACATGTACAACCAAAGGTACAAGAAAAACTGGAAGAATCATATTTTATCATGTCAGGTGTTGATAGTACACTAACTATATGAAACTCATTCTGGAAGTCTGCCATATTTAGGATAACTCCCCTCTCTGGGCATGCCTGTATTTTTATTCTTTCAATGATAGTAATATGGTCATTGCCAATCTCTAAGGGGAAAAAAAAGAGAGAAGGTTTCCATTTTTTTTTTTTTACATCCTTTCATCCTAATTGATTATGATGTCAAGTTTTACACACAATAGTTACTCCCTTCCTTATTCATGGTTTCTTTTTCTAAGGGTTCTGTTACTCACGGTCAACCATGATCTGAAAATATTAAATACAAAATTTCAGAAATAAGCAATTCATAGAACTTAAATCACGTGCTGTACTGAGTAGCATGGTAAAATCTCACACCACCCCACTTCATCCAGCCCAGTATGGGAAGCATCCCTTTGTCCAGGCATCCATGCTCTATGCTCTCCATGCCCGTCAGACACTCAGTAGCCTTCTTGGTTATCAGCTCCTCCTCAGCAGCTCAGCCCTTGTGTTGCAAGTAACCGTTATTTCACTTAATAGTCACATTATGTAACTTTTATTATGGTATATTTTTATGATTGTTCTATTGTATTTTCATTCATTGTTGTCAATATCTTTTGTGCCTGATTTATCAATTAAATTTTATCATAGTTATGTATATATAGGAGTAATCATAGGATCTATAGGATTTGGTACTATCTACAGTTTCAGGCATTGACTGGGGGACTTAGAACATATGCCCTGTGGATAACAGAGAAGGGTAGGCTACTGTCCTTCCAATTCTCAGTCTCAAAGTCTGTGTGGTGATTATCCCTGGGTACCTACTCAGTTTTATTACTCTCTTTCCTAATAGCACCCAGATGTTCCACTAAGAAAACCCACCTTCTTTGTCCAAGAGTAATCCTGAGGTTTCGTTGGTAATGATTATATTCCAAGATCTTAGAAAGTTTATAACTCATGTGATTCAAGTTGGATGGGATGTATTTTTGCTCCAGTGATGGTTAAAAGATCTGCAGTAATTCAGGCTTCAAGCACCAGCCCACGACATTCCCCTGGCCTTCGTGATTTGCTCAGGTTTGTCTAAATAAAAGTAAAGCTCAGGATTTTTCCTTCTGATACTGATGAGGAATCAGTAACCCCAGCGGCTGCTGGCAACTCTCTTGGGCTATAAAAGGAAACGAGTAGAGGGATAAAACATACAGATAAAAACAGAATTTGATCAAGAGAACCCCAGCTAGTCCTGACCGGTTTGGCTCAGCGTTCGAAGGTCGGCCCGCGGACCAAGGAGTCGTGGGTTCGATTCTGGAATAACAGCATCTGGTCCCACGGCTGTGGTGGTTCAGCTGCCGTTGAAGGGAGAACTCAGACTAAAACAGGAACCAGCACAAACACAGTCAGTGAACATTTCTAACCCATTTTATGACATCAACCAGGGCAGAAAATAAAGACCCGTGACACTGCACCACCATAATTTATTTAAACTGATGCAAAAGTGTTTCCACCAAAAATGTTAAATGGGTGCTTAGTCAAGGCCGTATATCTTACAAAAAGCAAAAGAAATTTAGCAAACATTGATAAAAAAAATGACTCTGCCATTTATCTCATCTACTTATTTGAGAAGCAATACTCTTACATGACAATGTGGTAGCATTCTTGGCCCAAAGGGGTAATTTTGTCAGTGGTTTCATTTGACAATTTCTTTTCTGTATTAGGGAGCTGTCCAGGTATATTTTTTCCACAGAAGAAACACATGGACAGGGATGGGCAGTGATAATATGGTAAGCAGACTCAAAAAATTATTTTTTAACTTTTTAAAAAGTTTTAATTTTTGATTACAGTTTATATTCAATATCATTTTATATTTATTTTTTCATTCAAAGAGTAATAGTGCAAATCCTGCCAGACATTGAAGTCCTTCCAATTCCAACCTTATTGAAGCCAGAATGTTTTAAAGCCCAAAGACAGAAGACCTGCTGGGTCCATCCTCACGATTGACCTCCAGGAACAAAACAACACATAGTTCAGTGTACCAGGGCTCCCACTCAGACAGTTTGCCAGCCAACCATGGCAAGGTAAGTATATAAGTATATAAGTAAAAAGGTATGTATTTTAATTATGTTTTACCCTAATTTTTAAAAATATGTTTTCGTTGATTTATAGAGAGAAGAAAGAGAGAAACATTGATCAGCCACTTCCTGCATGCCCTGCAGCAGGCATCAAGCCCACAACTTGGGCATGTGCCCTGACTGGGAATCAAACCACAACCTTCTGATCAATTGGAGGATGCTCAAGTCACCTGAGCCACACTAGCCAGTGCAGGTGAAACGAGGCAGAGATAAGACCCACAAAGTCTCCTCCTCAACCAGTTTCCTCCTCTTCACTGTTAGTCATCATACATGAAGCACACAAGACAAAAAATTGCAGACTAAATTTTATTTTTGTTCTTTGAAAACTCAGGTTGTAGAATTCAGAGAAGAGACTGAAATGAAGGTGGGAAGGAGGGAAGGTCAGAATGAGATGGTCAGGTTTGAGGTGAGGAAAGAATATTCTCTTCCTGGGTGAATCTTCTCACTTGGTCCTCTGTCCATGATGAGCTACATATGAAATTCAGGTCATTGACTCCCACCTGACCTAAACCTTGAACTTGCAGACATAGGGTAACTTCTCATGACAGTTATAATCTCTCCATGACAGATATCCTAGAGAGACAAAAGAGTTACGGTGAATGTGGCTGGTGGAGCTTGTGACCCAATAGAGAGGCATCCCAGACTCTGGCCTAGAATTCAAAACCCCTCCTGCCTGAAGGTTAGGCCCAGAAATAGGGGACGAGGGGATGGAAAAGTTGGCCAGAGGTAGCTACTTTCTTTCTTACCTGAGTTTCGTGACAAGCTCCCACAGTAGCCAGCATTTGAGGTGGATGGGGGCTGTCTCTCCCAGGCATAGTAATTCATCACATCATTGTTACTCCACTCCCATCCACCTGCATTGGGCTCATAGCCCTAGAGAGTAAAGAATAGAGCCAAATGAGGTTGATTGGCTATTAGAGTTTTTGCATAACCCTCTGTGATGGATACTTGATTGCCTCCTCAGCACCATGAAACTTAGTCTGCTATTCCAGATGTTGCCACAGAGCACTCATCTGGAAAATTCTCCCTAATGACTTGATGTTATTGGGAAAATCCCAAAGCCAGCAATCACAAACACCAATGATACCACTCAGAGTAACATGTCACTGCTTGGACAATAGTTGGTGCATTTGCAATTAATCTCTCAGCCTCAAAGCCAATGTCTGTTCTACAGGACCAAAATGCACCTTATTTTTGTTTAGAATTCCCTCAGCACAGTATGTATAGATTCAATACATTCAAAGAACTGAATTACAAGCTTCATGTGTAAATTGTGCAAAAAGCTTGACAGCAAATAGATAAATTTCAACTGGACATAGGTTCATCTACAAAACTCAGCAAAATTATTCCATCATTTATGGACCACAGTGGTGCCTCCCACGATACTTATCCCAAAGGATGGAGTGAAGATGAAGAAATTCCAGGCACTTTTATTTGGGAAGATAAAGGTCTCCATTGCCACCTGTGTCCCCACCTGACCTCAAATCTCTACCTTTAACCCAAGTATACCCTAAAATCCCTGACCTCCAGGCCTCTCTATTATATTTTCTACAGAGACACAGGGAACTGGGAGTAGGCCTGGGTAACAATAGCATCTAGAAAGGTAACAGACAGGAGATGTTATCACACCTGTGTGGGATCATGGAGCCCAATCCAGACGTACGAGAAGGCGTTCAAATCATTCTTGACCACAGAGGCCACGAAGGACGCCTCAGCCCCACTGAGCACAGACGCAAGGAATCCTGAAGACCGTTTCTGGCAGGCAATCTGTGTGGGGTAACGACGACACTGAGGAGGTGCTTGAGATGTCAGTGTGGGAAGTGCAGGGCTAATGTAGGAGAAGAGGTGTGTGTGCAAAAGATGAGGGTGCTCATTCTCACTCCCAAGAAACTCTGGAGAATGCAGACCCCTGCCTCACCTAATGTATTTCCCCTTATCAACTCTAATTATAAAAGAACCTACTCACACTTGCATCATTCCAAGATTTTGGTGTCCTAAAGAAGGCATAGCAGAAGGAGCGAAAAGCATAGGAGCCTTGGGGACAGTTGGCCCTTGGGGTGATAACTTCCTTTTTGGAATCTTCACCTGGGGTAGAAGGGAATAAGGGAGAGAAGGGGTGAAACAAAGTGTGGGGATGGTGTTGGAAAGAGATATTGGGGAATATCTGTGAGCCAGTGCATGGGGAAATGACATCAAACTCTTGACTACCTCACCCTTGGATTTCGTAGCCTTGAACCAGCCCCATCAAATGAAGGACCATCTCTTTGTTCTACTCTTCCCCTTTATTCAAAAGTCCAACACTTTCCCCGCTCTGAGCTGACTGCTCTCACACTGAGTCCTCCAATCAGTCTTCCCCTTATCTCACTACTGACCCTTCACACTTTCTCCTTCACCCTGCCAGTATAAACTAAAGTCCACTGACAAAATGCAAATTATCTTATTCCATCCTTAATGGACCACAGTGGTGCCTCCCACCGCGACTTAACCCAAAGGAAGGAGTGATGATGAAGAAATTCCAGGCAGTTTCATTGAGAAGATAAAGGTCTCCATTGCCACCTGTGTCCCCCAGGAGGCTCCCTCCTCTTCTTGGCCCTGAGCACTCACAGGGAACCCAGTGCTAGAAGCAGAGAAACCTCACCTTGAACCTGAGTTAGGAGCATGAGGCAGGAGAGCAGCATCCAGGACATGCTGGGCAGGGTCATGGTGGGCAGCATCGCGTCTGTGACTTGAAGAAGCAATCAGAAATCATTAAAGCAGTGTGGTCAGAGAGAGGGCATGCAGGGAGCCCTCTGTCCTCCCCCCTGTCTTTTCCTTTGGCTAGTCTTCCACAAATAATTGATCTTGGTCACATCCATCCCCTTCTATGATTCTGGAAACAATGGGAGAATCTGTACACCCTACTACCCCTGAGACAGATGCTCTTTGAAGACGAGCATCCTCCAATAGCTTCTCGCAAGAGTGCGAGGTTGGCCCCTGCCATGGCTCTCACCTTCTCTCAGCTCCCACTTACCTGTCGGTGGGTGTTTGCGATGACTGCTCAAGTCAGAAAAGACTAGGCTTTTATAAGAGGATCTGAGGGTGGGGCCCTGAAATGAAAAACAGGGATGTGGAGCCAGGACAGGGATCTCAGAAAAGGTCTTGGCATTGGATCAAGGAGGTTTGTGTCCTGGGTAGTGGACTTCCCGGGAACAGCTGGGAATTGTCCCAGTTGTTTCTTTCCTCTTAGCAGGCCAGCACTCTGCCCAGAAACAGATGAAGTTTGCCCTTTTTTTTGCCCTTGCTTGTTATGGGCCTGTGCCACAATGTGGTATTAAACTTTTAAAGGGGACATTTACTGGAGTAGTTCTTTTGGTTGATATTTCAAGAACTCGCTACTATAAGCATGCATATGCTTTTCTTTCTGTCTTGCATAGTAAAATTAAATCAATGATGGTCTACAAGAGGAGATCAGTATGAGAATTACAAGTGTCACATTTTAGTGAAGGCATAGAAACAACTTAAGCTAAGCGTACCACTGAGGGTTCAGAGTTGCCTCTTAAACAGAGTAGCCAGTTTTAAAGAAAATCATCATTTATTCAGAATCATCTAATAACTCAATGGAAGAGTCAAGATCTAAAGAATATCATGTGGATAAACTTGCTTCACCAGTCATCTGAGAGCTGGAGCTTCTCTGATGGATAATGATGATATTGTGATAGAACTGGAGGCAATTAAGGAATTAAAATCTAAGGATGACAAAGTCAAATGATGCAGAGACAAAGAAAGAATGAAAAAGGATTAGAGGGGTCAGAGCAGGAGCCAGGTAAAATTGGAGACAACATCCTGTATTGCATGTTAGTTAGACTTCTACTGCATCAAGACACTCACTACCTGAGGCTATTCACAACTTCTTGCAAGACCGTCACTGGCTGTGGATAAATATCATTGTTATTACATTCTTACTGGAAGGGTGGCCAGTTCATGTAGGGATACTAAGAAAAGTTTCCTAGTCAAATTTACTTTTGGGTTGGAAATTTTGGCAACTATGAGAAACAACTATGTAGTTTAGGTTCAGTTTGGTCATTCTGGGGGTAAAGTTTGGCTGGGATTTTCTACAGACCCTGACTCTCATACTATTAAAACAGGTCAGCTTCTCTGCAGTGTCTACTGTAGGGATTCATAGTGCGATCATTAAATTTAGCTCAAATGGATTCATGTCCTCACAATCCAAAAATCAAAGACCCTACAAATAATCTAATAAGCAGCATAGCCAACATATCCTTTTGTTAAACAAAAATAGTAAATTACTTTACAAACATATGCCAAAGTATGTAAGTAGAAAGCCATAACTAAAGGAGAGTTCAGTGGAAATTAAAGTTTAAAATAATAGATTATGCAAATATGATAGTTAAAATGATTTAAAAAGTAACCTTGCTACATTAAAAACACTACTTGAGAAGAAGTTAATAATAACAGTCACAAATACAGAGTGGCATGTTCTTGAATTCCTGAAAAATTCAGTGTCATGGAGAATAAAAAACATTTTAGATTAAAAAAAACCTAAAGAGATATAAAAACTTAATCTAGTGAGTAAATTTTAATTGGGCCTTTATTAATAAAGTAAGTCATTTGAGGGACATTTGCAAAATACAGTATTTTGCGATGCTGGACTTCTAAATTTTCTTTCAGTTAAGTGAAGAATTTCCTTATGGTTTTAATGTTTATGGTGAAGTATTTAGAAATAAAGTGTCATGATGTCTGCACTTGCTTTTAAATTATTTTTAAAAATATGTGTGTGTGTGTGTGGAGAGAGAGAGAGAGAGAGAGATGGGCCAAGGACAGAGAAGCAAAGCAAATATTATAAAATGATAACATTTACTGAATCTAAGTGGAAGACATAGGGTGTTATTTATTCTATTCTTTGAACTTTTTTGTATGATTAAAATTTCCAAATAGAAAGTTATAGTTTAACTTACATGTTCCTTATCTATAATAACACATATTTTTCCATCATTACCATAAGCTAGAAATAGCAAAATAGAGCAATCATATGTATGTACAATCATATGTACATATATCCATTAGAAAGACATTTTAAGAATTAAAATAAAATATTAAAGTATTATAAATAAATAACAAAATATCTGGAATGTTTCATAGTCAAGGTACCTGATTTTTGTCTATGTAAACCCATAAGCAAATAAAAAAAAAGGAAATTAATATCAAATACTCAATATTCAAATATCGATATTCTGTCTTCAACCTGAAAAAAGAAATCATGTCTTCAGAGTAAAATGTTTGGTTATCAGACTCCACCCTTCAAACAGAGCTTAAACACTTTTGAGGATAGAGAACGTCTGAGTCATTCACTTATTTGTAAGGAGCAGAATAAAGGTGGCTGCCTATGATCTTATACTTTTCAAGCTGTCTGGGTTTCCTAGCCTCTCAATTTTCCCCATTACCAGGTAGAAGGCAGTTAAGTTCAGATCCTCCCATGAGGAGTTGTTAAAAATCACCTTTGTTTTATTTTTACTTGAAATAAAGTGATATTTATAATAAACCTTAAGGTGATAATATCCCTAACCACAGTGTAAGACTTGTGTTTCACATCACAACTCACCACACTCAGTAAAATGTAGTTGCTTTTGTTTTATTCGTAGCTGTTCTTCCTAGTAATCCTCATGAACCAGGCACTGGGAAGTGTGTTCAAATACTAATGTTTTTTTCTTTTTAATTAATTATTTTTGTTACAGATGTTTCTCCTTTTTTCTCCATTGACACCCTCCTCCCCATCCCCCCCATCTCCAGCTTTGTTGTCCATGTCCATCGGTTATGCGTACATGCATATAAGTTCTGTGATTTATCTCTTCCCTCCCACCCCACCCCCTCTTTTGAGGATTGTCAGTCTGTACCTTACTTTTTAAAAAGTCTCCTTTACAGTATTTACAGTCCACTACTTGGTGGTAAAGGAGTAATGTTTACTCTTGGAAATCCAAGGCTAACCTGTAAGAAGCTGTTTTTCTAAAAGATAAGGTGTTCAACCTGTACTTTTGATTCCAGGTTCTCTTCCAAGTTCAACAATATTAATATTTGCAGATAAGGCTCAATACGGTTATTCCTAGAATTAGCACAATGAGGAAATGATTACTTTTATGAATCCAGTACATCTGTTCCAAGAACGGCAAAATGTGAGGAGTTCCAGGAAGACGACTTGGCACTGCCCACGTCAACAACAGTCTTGAAACGTATTTTACTGGAGATTTGTCACTAAAGTGCACCCCTTTTGGATACATTAACCGAATATCCAGAATGTTGCTTTCGTCTTTTGGTCTTATCCTAAGCTTATCAGAAGAAATGGGAAAGGGGTAATAAAATGAGACCCGATGTACTTTGTGAAACAAGGTAGATTGGTCAAACCTCAAAGTCCCTGAAACTTGTACGGTGAATTATGGAAGCACTGGAAAGCTAATACCATAGTTGCGGGAATTTGTTTAGCCATATATAAGTAATGAACAGTATGATCTGTATAGTTACTGAGGGCAATAAACTTTTTATAAGGGAGCTGTCAGTTTTGATTTGGTGTGAATGTCTCACATTGGTCTTGGAACAGTTCACTGTTGTATATCATGTTAGTTCTTCTAATATATCTATTGTGTAATCTATAAAAATGATTGGCTGTTATTAATTTTTCTTTTAGAATAAGCTAGGTATAATTCAGTGATTGTCTAATAAGGAATCATAATTCAGTGATTACCATCAATTATGTTTATTTGATGGTGGTAACTGCACATCTGAACTGCAATCCACCATTCACATTTCTTTTGGCAACTAATAAAAATATTGCATAGCTGTGTTGCTTTTCTTTTTGCGATCAGTTATTTTTATGATACAGAAAACACTTCACAAACATGTGTACTTACCATGTAGAATAAACAGTGATCATACCTTGCCATTTTTCTTCATGTTTTCACTTTTTAAGAAATAAAGAAGCACCCTGGCTGGATGGCTCAGTTGTTTGGAGTGTCGTCCCATACACCAAAAACGATTGCAGGTTTGATTCCCAGTCAGTACACATGCCTAGGTTGCAGGTTCAATCCCCAGTCAGTGTGCTTATGAAAGGCAACCTATGGGTGTTTCCTTCCCTCCCTTTCTCTCTCTCTCTCCCCGCCCCCCCTCCCTGTCTCACCCTCCAGTGAAGAGCAAATAAAGAAATAATATAAGAATAGTTTATTTATATCATTCCACAGTCTCCTTTCTCTAATTATTTTTCCATTATAAATTTTCCAATCATTCTTCGAATTTAGGTTTTTAATCATCTATTACATGTAGATATATCAATCAACAATGTGTCATATTATTTCCTCTTTCTAGATTTATATACATGTATCATATTTTATGTACCATTCTGGAATTTTTTTGTTCCTTTTATCTTAGGCTTTACTATTAATTTTGTTATTCCCTTCTTCTGACATCTGCTAATTCTTCCCCAATATTTCCTCACATTCTTCCCCTTGTCTGGTCTTCGACACACAATGATTCTCCAATAGTTTCACACAATTTATAAAGGCAAAAAGCTCAGCAATATACATTTCTCTCAATGTCACTTTCCTAGTACTGATGCTTTGGTCTGTCCATGCTGGCTGCTTAGAACGTGATTGAAGGCTGGACCAGGAACAAAGGATCTCATTTGAGTGAGGTCCCTGCATCTGGGCAAAGACTCATCTTTCAAGTGAAG